ACGACACGAGGCCAAAAGCGACGACAATTCTGCGCATCGCGACCAGGACTTGTGGTGGCTTTGCTTTCCAGACACGACGACACGACTCGAGGCCAGAATCGACGGCAATTCTGTGTTTCGCGACCAGGACCCCCCTCATCCCTGTGAATGTTGGCACTTTTGAGACGCGACGACACGACACGAGGCCCAAGCGACGACAATTCTGTGTTTCGCGACCCAGACTTGTGGCGACTTACCCGCGACATACGCGAACGCTTTGCAGACGCTTGCGCGAGAACGCTTCTGCTACGCATTCGGGAAGCTGGGCTGGGCTCTGGGGAGGCGATACCTGGACGCGTGCCCTGTGGAATAGGCGACATCTGGACGCGTGCCCTGTGGAGTTTCCCTTTAGCTTGACGGATTCGGATCATCGCGGAGGCGACACCTGGGCGCGTGCCCTGTGGGTTCCCCCTTAACTTGACGGATTCGGAACGCCGCGGAGGCAACACCTGGACGCGTGCTTGACGGATTCGGAACGCCGCGGAGGCGACACCTGGGCGCGCTTGATGGATTCGGAACGCCGCGGAGGCGACACCTGGGCGCGTGCCCTGTGGAGCTCCCCCTTAGCTTGACGGATTCGAAATACCGCGGAGGCGACACCTAGGCGCGTGCCCTGGGAAGTACCTCCTTAACTTGACGGATTCGGACCGCTACGGAAACGACACCAAGTCGCGTGCCCTATGGAGTTCCCCCTTAGCTTGACGACACGACATACTCGAACGCTTTGCAGACGCTATACAACGATCGTTGGCCAACGATTAGACCCCTAGACCCCTACCTTAAAAACGAGAACCCTTCTGCTACGCCTTTAAAACGAGAACGCTTCTACTACACATTCGGGAAAAACCTAATACAATTACGACTAAAACTTAATATACTATAAGATCCCCTTTATAAACACCTTCTACACACAATCCAAAGTCCTATAAGAATCTTATTACGATCACAACCCAAAATATCTTACGACTTAAACGAAAAATCCAATTACGACTAAAATTAAGATCTCTCCCTAATACCTATTACAAACACAACCCAAAGTCCTACGACTTAACAACCCAATACAACTACGACTAAAATCTCCCTAATATCTTCTACAAACACAACCCAAAGTCCTACAAATAATTCAATTCCCAATACGATTACGACTAAAATCCCTCTAAGACCTTATACGAGCACAATCCAAGGTTCTACGACTTAAATAAAAATTTGTCACCTTTCCCAGGCGCGTATTAAATTTCTAGAATATAAGATAAAGATGCCTACTAATACCTCCTCCAAACGCAACACAAACGAAATCCCTAGCTGAAATCTACCGTAACGACTAATACAGCTATCCCCACTACTTTCAAATTAATCTATCTTATCTCTCTCTCTCTCTCTATCTCTCTCACTCTCTGTCTCCCTCACTCTCCCTCTCCTTCTATCCTCCATCTCCGTCGGTCAATCTCCTTGCTGTCCCCCAGTTTTCAAACGGTCCTAACTACCAAATTAGATAAAAAATAGCACCTAAAAGTAATCTTTAAAATCTTGTAAACCCGGCGTTATAGGGAGTCCTGTCAAAGGACGAAGTTTCCGGGGGCTAAGCCGCGTACGGAATCACGGTCACAAGTAGCACGACACCATTTTATTATAGAAGATTTGCTCTTAATTTAATCGCCACAGATCAAATTGAAATTTCAATCTCAAAATTCATGTATCTAATCTCAAATGATTTTCAGTGAGAAAAGAAGGATTCCAGATATTGTTGCTTTGAATCCTCTATATAGATATATATAGATTATAGCATTATCAACTCGTTTTTGTTTAATCTCCAAAATCCTTCCATAAGGAGTATCGGAGCCGCCAACGTATATCTTTAGAAAGCTATTCGATGTATCGAAATGTCTTTTAGGAAGGCATATCTTTACACTAGGAAATCTATGAGTCTATCGTCTATTTTATTCAATTTTAAAGATGTTATAGAACAGAATAATTTTCTGGATTATCATTCCGAAACGACTACAATTCATTTGAACGGTCCTTCATAATGGATTGGTAGCGTACATACTCCGGCTCCATGGCGTGCTATTTTAGACTTTTTTCGTGGACCGAAGTGATCTTGCTGCCACCTTGGGCTTCTTGTGGCAAGACCCTATATATTGCGCGTGCCTGGCACCAGGATGCACCGGGTGGGAAGAATGGACATTCGAACTGCCAACGCTTGAATTTGCTCGTCTCGGTGTGGCAGGCCACACACAAACACACACGTCCGCCTGATCGGACACGACAAGAGCTGAAACGTTGACCTCTCGGCGGCCCATGCAATCGCATCGATGCCAAGCGAGCAGTGTACACAGATAGGGCACATCTGGCCAAGGAGCGTTAAAGGTGCGAATTGCGTCTAGACCAGGCGCGCGGTCTGCAGCAACTGGAGCCTGCCGATACTCATCACGTTGCCGTGTTTCCGTGAAGATTGGCTTTCTTTCCGCTCAAACTACCAGCAAGCAACACATGCTCTTGCGGACAACGCTCCTCTCTGCCAAGGAGCCTCTGCGATGTCGATCTTCACCATTCCTCGCCGCTTCCTGAAGCCAAGAGGCCGAAGGTGCACTGCACAAGAACTCCACGATGATCTACGTGAACAAATCTTTTCAGACACTGTCAGAGATTGATTCATTGATCCCACCGACAACCTGCCACAGTTATCATGCTGCAGCAGCCCGGATCTGACCAGGAGACTCGCAGGCAACAAAGTCTGCGTCAAGCGCAAGCTTTATATGTGGCTGCACTTGAGGTGCAGACTCCCTTATGCATTTCAGGTGCGCCACCTGCCAGCGAGCAATTTTCCACGACACTCTGCGTTCACCAGAAAAAACAGCTTTGGAATGCCTTGAACACGACGAACTGGCCACTCGCATACCAAAAGAGGAGCCGGGCCCATTTCAACGCCACCTTGGCGCCGAGAGCTGCTTCTTTGGGGGTGCCTGGCTTTGCTATGTCATCCCGGGCCAAGCTCTTCACATGGAGCTTTGTCTGTTCCTGCTGTACCATGGCAGTCCACGTGGGCTGTGGCCCGAAACCAACAGACCGATCATACGCTACCTCAGTTGTGTTGCAGCGTCTCATAGCGCAAGCCTGACAAGCGACCTGACTCTTGTGGGCCAAACGAGATGCGTTTCCGCGCTCGCCTGCGCAAGCAGACTGGATCTTTAAGGGAGATAAGATCCTTGAACTATGCGGCTTTCACAAGGCAGGCTCGCCGTGCCGTGCTCGAATGGCCAGTGACTTGAAACGACTCTCGTGTACATGAACCTCCCCACCCCGTTGAAATCATGCCAAAGGGCCGCTACCTCAAGGTCCTCGGGGCCTCGCGGAGGACAGCAAAACGCCGAAGAACATGGTCTGCCCGGAGCAGCTCCTCTAAGGACCCGGATGTTCAAAAGAGGGGCTCACAGACCACGTGCCGAGGCGTCGATTCTTTCGTTCCCAAGAACTCAGCGCATGCTCGGCTGCAAGCAATGCCACTTCAGGCTGAAATGGCAAAAAGACGCAGCGATTCAGTGCCTCAAATTGGCTGTCTGTGCACTTTATGGGTGCACGCTGGCGAAGGTCAGAAGTACAAGCGTGAAAGCACGCTGACAAGTGCAGAAACTAACCCGACAAAAAGAAAGAGCTGCTTCATAAAGAGCTCTCTTGTGAGCTTCGTGTCTCTGACAATGAAGCCGGCCGAGCTGTCTGCAATAAATCGGACCAAGTACTGTCTGTCGGCATCGAGGCTGCTCCTCGTTGAGATCTGGTTGACAAATGCAGGGATGCCCTGACATTTTTCTGTCAGTTCTGCACCGTGCGCGCATACATGCAAGCTGAGCAGGAAAAGCCACACGAGGGGCAAAGATGACAGGCCTTCGACCAGCAGCGGCAAGGGCCGGTGTTCCGAGCGGAACACAAAAGTCACGCCGACTGCCAGGAAGTACACGAAACCAACTCCAGACAAAATCTGAAGCGCCAGGAAACTCGATGCAAGCTCGCGTGCAACAGATTTTAGCAGCGCTTGGATAGCATTCCAACTCTCGGCACCTAAGCTGAAGTCCATGTTGTGGCTCACAATTTGGCAGCACCAACAGTCCAACGTTTTGTCCAGGCCAAGCAAGAGATCCGTTTGAATGAACGCTGCCTGCAGCACTATTGCACTGGACACTCCATAGCTTACCAGATTGAGAGCCCCCATGGTGGAGACCCAATGCCTCTCTATTCCGTGCTTGGCACTGGTTCCTTCCTGATCGTCCATCCATGCTTGGAGCACTTGTGTTGCAGCGAATGTTGCTAAGCTCACAAGCCATGCAGCAGTGTACCTTCGCCACTCTCTGCAAGATGCAATGCGCCAACGCTTCTTAAAATCTTCCATCAGAAGCTGCAGCCGTGCCACTGCAATCTCGAAGTGTGAGGAACGCCAAGCTTGATCTAACAAGGTTACTGATACAATGGCTAGAACTGTGTAAACGCCTGTCGAAACCAGATTAAGCGCAAACGCAGCGCTGTTGACATGGCCGGCACCCGCTAGCCAAGACATACATACGAGTTGGAAAACTGTGGGAATGCATGCAGCCAGGGTGAGGCAGCGTGGGTAAGCCGTCAAGAGTCTGCTGCTCCAGTCATCTGCAGAGTCTTGATCCGAACCTGTGCTGAGGATTTGCGCTTGTGACTGTCTGTCCATGCTTTGCATGTTCCCATATCCTGGTCTCCCGAAGATCAGCTCGTGGGGTGAGCTCGGCTTCTGGACGGTGCTGTCTTGGACTGTAGGCGTCGGCACCACGCAAGTTGCTGGAGATGCCGGGCATTCCTCTCCAACAGACTGGAGGCTTTTCCTCTGGGACCAAGTTTTCGAGAAGGACTGATACAAGGAGAAGGAATCTGTGAGTGCCGTCCGTGTGGCATTTTGCATTTCCTGCATGGATGGGGCAGGGCCTAGTGGCCCCAGCGGGTGCAGCGGAAGATTTTCCTCCGAGCCCAAGGTAGGAGCGCTCCTGCGTCCTGGTTGAGGGCTTCAGGCCTCGGACCTCCGGCTGACTATTTGCCTGCTTCCGATTGCTTGCAAGACTTCCAAATGCATCTTTCTGGACTCCATGTGTCCCTGCTCAATCTTTGTGAAGATCGCCTCCAAGGCTTCCTGCACATTTCGCCCCGGAGCTTCCGCCATGTTGGCCGCGGAAGCACGTTGAACAGCCATGATGGCCGCCCTCCTACTCGCACTCATACAGCACCTTGCACTATCCGCTTTGAGCCGAAAGCTTTACTTTTCTGACATACAGAAGACATGCATGTCGCTGAACTTATGGTTGCAGCAGGTGGTCTCGCCTCACCAGCCATGTCAGACTGGAGGGTGCCACACTGCAATGCTCAACAACCAGTGGGCTCCGGTACCCGATGCTCTTCGAAGACATCCAGCCAAACCTGAGGCTTGTGGCTCAATGAAGCCACGCCCTTGGGCTGGGGTAAGAAGCATTTGCGGATCCGCCGGGCACATTTAATCAACATTTAAGGCATCGCCTTGGCTAATCCTGAAAATCGCTGGCAAAGCGCTGCGTACTAATCAGGTGAGGTTTGGGAACAAGAGTCTGGAATCAGAAGAAGTCCGCTTCAGTAACTGAAACAACCTGTAAACAAAGACAGGTCAGAAGGCTCTTAACAGTCGGCCTTGCTCGACTTCAACACGCCACTGCGACATAAGATCCGACCAACCTTCCGCAGGCCCGTTCGAGATTTACCAAGCCAAGCAGCCACAAGTTGTTGACGCGGAACTTGTCGCACTAACGCCTGTGTCATTCCGCTATTTTTCAAGTGGACTCCGCAAAACTGTTCTGGCAAAAACAAGGCTACAGATCGCTTAGGCATGTCCAACTTTCCAAGGACAGCGCAAGGCCCCTCTGTAGGTCTCCCTGGGCCACAAGTCAAGGACGGGGGCGGGTCTCGCTTCAGATCTGCTTCCAAGATAGTGACCAGATAGTGCTGTCGAGGAGCCAAAGAGAGTCCACGAAGATAGGGCCAATCCGAGAACATGGCCGACACCTGCCGAGAGTGACCAAAATGAAACTCTCTCCCCCCCGCACCCCTGTATCCCGACACATACATGCATACACGTTCACATGCATGTGTGCATGTCAACACACCATGTCAACATGCCAGTTGCAAGGTCTTGTTCTGCACTCAACTCACGGCTCTGGTTGAATCGGACAGCCGGCTGACGAAGCAAAGAACCAACTTGCCTTTGATCCGCAATCTTTCCGGAGATCCTTGCAGGATTGTCTTAATTACTCTGCAATGCGACCATTAAGGCCTATCATTAGGGCATGTTCTGATCAGACTGAGTCAACGGCTGAGGCGCTATGCTCCTTAGTTGAAAATGTGCAACCCAGTCTCGCTACTCTGTAATGTAGGTGGGCATGCTGTGCACTGGCTCTTGTGGCCACGACCTGTCCGTCTTCTTCATCTTCGCTGTCGGATGTGAGGTAAGCAGCGCTTGCGGCGTTGGACTCTTGCTGTGTCTCCTGCTGCAGAAGTGCTCGTTCGAGGCACGCGTATTGCTGGCCGGTCAGAAGTCTTGCGGACTGCCTGCATCTTGTGGTCACCTGGCTGCATGAAGCATGGACTTTGAAGCAGCCACAGGGCTGACATCCGGCAAGTCACCCAAGCAACTTGGAGTGTCGGTGCAGGGCCAGAACTCCGCTGAGTGTGGGGCCAGCCGCATGAAGGCTTTCCAAATCAGTCTTTGTAACGCTTCGGCCTGGCTCGAGTCCCGGATGTGTTTCCCGGAGGCATGCGATCGGAGAGCGGAGAGCACAGCGTGCCTTCGGCTTTCACACGAGCTGCCAATCGCTGGACGGAGGCAAAGGCCTCGGCAGATCTTGAGCCTGCCTGCAAGTACTTGTATGCTTGATTTTGCTGACGGTGTGATTTGTGAGCCCACCGCTGGCCAAGACGACAGGACATCCATGCAGCGACACAATTCCTGGCAACTTCTTAGTCTGTCTGCTCGCGTCTGCTCCCGGGCTCCGGCCCTTGGGAAAGCCTCTGACGTTTGCTACAGTATCCTTTCTAGCAAAGGCCGGCAAGCTGCACGTCTATGAAGCCTGCATGATGTCGTAGATCTATCGCACCCGAGCACAAGGTCGTCCTTGGCAAGTTCCGCGCTCGCCGCCTTCGACCGGGCCTCCTGCAAATGCACGAAGGAGGTCTGGGAGTGTCTGATTGATGGGGCCTCTACTGAAAGCAACACACACGAACAAGGCGCAACTAACAAGATAAGGAACGTCAAAAGGAGTGCTCCAAGTAATCCAAACAACTGTATCTTTGTGATCCTTGGCTCCCGCGGGGTCATCGTCGTCGTCGTCGCTTTGATCACCTGCAAGGACAAGCAACCTGCGACCATGACGCTGCAAACTGCTCAAGTGCCAAGTGATTGGCTTCGACAAGCTATCTAAGACATACGTGACTCTGTGCTTCACCTTCTTACTACTTCTTGCAGATGATGTAGACAAGTCATAGCTATGACTAGTCGGGTGCCCATAGTTTCGGGGTCCTGGTTTCGGATCGGCTGGCGGGGGTTTCGGATCAGAGGGGGATAGTTTCGGCGCCCAGTTTCGGCACAGGCGGAGTCAGTTTCGGGACGCGGGTCTGTCAGTTTCGGAGCCCATGTGGGCAGTTTCAGTCTGGTTCTTGCAGGCCTGGGCCTGAAACTGGCCATGGCGTTGAGACCGAAACTGATCATGTCCTGATCCCTTGAAACTGTCCCGGACCATGTTCCGAAACTGAGCACCGAAACTAACCTCGAAAATCCTGAAACTCACAACTTCCAGACTCCAACATGCAACGCAAGGGAACTGTCTTGCACATACTGGACACAATTACGGAGCCGAATCTGACATGATGAGGATTTCGCCCGCGTCATTTGCATCTCGCCTCGGCCACGGAAGCAACCGATCAATCCCAAGGCCTCGTCACGTAAAGCCAAGCGACATTAGGATCGGATCACGAGCAACGGTCGCTCGGTCCAAGGCTTGCCTCTGCAACGGACGGTCTGCAAGACCCATCTGACACGCTGCACAGGGCTGAACGGTGACATGTTCGGGGCCTTGTCACGTCCTGCGGCGCTTGCCTGCTCGAAACCATGATAACCAAGTAGCAGCGATATCCTTCTGACAGTTGTAACGATTCTCACGATTCGTGGCAAGGGGAACCGGGTTGGCCGGCTTCTGTAAACAGCATGGCTCAGCTGCAGCTGTGGGGTGAGAGGGTTGGCCAGCACCGTCGCCCCATGCGAACATGTCTCGTCTGCAGCACAACAGCCTGCAAATAACTCATATCTGCAGACGTAGCAGACAAGGAACAGCTGCATAGCCATAAGCTTTGGGCGTAGTAATAGTAGCTCCAACAATAGCAACCGCAACAGCAAGGACAAAAGCAAGGTTGCACTTTAATGCGTACTGACCCACATCGCACAAAACGTAGCTGGCAGCACTGGCGCCAGCAAGATCGACCCTCCTAAGCAGAGATATGATCCCAGCAGCCATCCAACAACACTCATCAAATCTAAAGAGGCTTCGGCTTAGAAGAGTAATGAAGACAGGGTGGCAAAGAACGAAAACAAATGCCATCATGACATGGCACCACGCACTCAGACGCATGGCAAGTTTACATGCAAGAACAAGGTACATCGCTGTAATGCTTGATTCGCCTGTTCTTGTGCACTTTTCGGGCATCCTCTCCGAAGAGCAGGAAGGCTGCACGCAAAGCCTTCGGCCGTGCTGACCAACAACGGTATATGGACAGCTGGCACGGGCACTGCGGTGCCAACCGTTGAGCGTGGGGGCGCTGCGAACTCCGCGAGGCTGGCGCTGAAGACAGACTTCGACCCCGGGCCACTGAGTATGTGCTCCACCTTGGTCGCAATGATGCTGCAAGGAAATCATGCTGCACCCAGTCGTCCCCAAGGTTTGCTGCAAGGTCCTGGAACGACAGCTGTTGCTGTCTTCTGCTCAAATCGGAGTTCAGGTGATGAGTGCTACCGCCACAACTACAATTGCACTGCCACAACAGTGCGGGCTAGCTGCGGTGTACATCAGATTCTGGTGAAGCGCCAGCCTTGCCACAGTGTGCAAAGTGCAGCGAGGCTGTCAATGCCGGTACAGAGACTGCGAAGCTCTAAGGCCTCGCTGAGGAAGAAGGTGTTATGACCTCGGCATGCGCGAGCCACCAGACGCAAGGCCTCGGACTCCTCGGACCCGGCACATCGAAGCAAAGGAACAACTCATGAAGCCTGCCTTGTGCGTGAAGAGTGGCATCGATGACAGCCTGACCCATCAGGCTGCACTTACAGGTTGGACTGCAGCTGTGTCAGGTTTGCGAGTTATCAAACAGGCAACGGAGGTAATTACTTGAGACTACCGTGAGGGAAACAGGTTCCGATTGCCCGTTGCAACACGCACAGCATGGGCGCAGCAAATCTCGAGTCGCTGTTACTAACCAATGCTGCCCGACCGGAGCCAGGCATTGGTCAATAGGCTAGCCGCTTTCCAACAGCGAGTGGCTTTGCAAAGACTTACCACCTCCGCTCCAAGCACGCGCCTTCGACACAATGGAAACCCTACCAGACTCTACCAAGGCATGCTTATGCCAAGCTCTGGCCAACGGCCAGTCTTCCGCACGAAACAAACTTCCTTCGTCTGGCAAGAGAGAGCTTACCAGCATTGGGACCCTTTAGTCTATAGCTTCGCAGAGCTCCAGTACGTCTCGGGTAATACCCGACACGTGGCGGAGCCCCACGATAGACATCTGCGAGCCAACCTGCGTGCTTGCACAAGCATTCCATCCAGGTGCCGAATGAGTCCTCCTCCACAGTCCGAGCAGGCCACGCTGGACACCACCCGGACCCCTCAGCTGACCTGACTGTTCATGGTGTGCTTCACCTCGCAAACTTGCGAATGCTCGACACCGGCCGCCAAGACTGCTTGAGCGATGTCAAGCTTCCCGAATCAAAGTAGAAGATAAGGCTGCGCTCGCCCCTCTGCGTTAAGTGGTTGCATGGTCAAGCCTGCAGAAATGACACATATATTTTCGGACATTGACGACATTTGCCTCCCACCGGCGAAGGCACCCATTCGCTTGTGGAGATGCTATAGCTGCAGTGTGAAAGCACTGCCGTCCGTTCCGAGGTGCCATAACGCAACAAAGCGAATTATCGGCGAAATTCACGTAGCGCTTGAGCTTTACAGTGTCGGGCCCAGCTTCGTGTTGCAAGCTGCCTGTTGACAGCACCTCACATCACGCAGCGAGGTCATGAGCAGGAGCCTCAACCGGTAAGTTGTCCAGTCTGGCATGGTGTTGAGCAGGTCATGACCTGCAAACTGCAAACAGTGTGTTGGTACAGGCCACCGGTGCGTCTTAGTTGCCACCCTTTGAGCACGGGTGACCCTTTTACTTAGTGGCGCAGCGCAACAAAAGCCTGTAACTGCACCAAGCGGGCCTCGCGGAAGATAGGGTACCAATGCCTGCCAATTTTGTTTGCATCCATGTATTCAGCTTGGCAAGGATCAAGCAAGCAATCTGCTGAATCGCGCTGCTGCACTAAAAGCATGCCCGACGACATGAAGGTGCAGCACTTTGTCACCTTATAGTCAGTACAGTAGGTTCGGCCGAAAAAACTGTCACGTGCTTTGGATGAACGCATGAACCTGAAACTCTTGGACAGCAGTGCGCGTTTTGACAATTGCCCTTCGCCACCTAGGGCCCGATGCATGTGCTCTCACCGGGCCCAAGGCGGTGCTCATTTCATGCACTGACTGGGGCTGGATGGCCTTCCGACTTCCTCAGACTTTTACTTGGGACCTTCCACCGAACCCGCAGTGCCGCTGGGCTAAATGCAACTTCTAGATGATCTACCCTGCAGATCGAGACTGCATCTCAACATGTGGCTTTAACAACGTCAGCTAAGTCTACCCCTGCAGTAGCTTCTGCATCTGCTGGCCTCATCGGCACCACTGCCGCTGACCTCGTAAAGGAAGTTTACTGTCGGCAAGAAAACGTTGGAATGGGCATTCAAACAGCCTTGAGTGCCTGACTGTAACGAAGCCGTGCATGGCGTGGAAAGCAGCATATGGTGCTGCATGTGAACCTGGCTCAAGCATGAATGCACCGAGGCGAGCACTCGGCGATGCGAGGCTGCCAGTGTCCAGCGGCGTCCAGCGTGAACCCCAAATCAAACAAGAAGCAAACGAAACGCGATAGTCTCAGGGGAGTTGATGGGATTGGCAGCTCGCATTTTTCGAAGAATCTAACTGCCTAGCTCTCGGCTTGAGCTCCTGAGTTTGGGACGGGCGGCGGCCCAGTCGCCGGCAATCTTCACAGTGTCACGAAACAGACCTCTTCGCGAATACGGCGAGGTGAGCCTTCCTACAACGCCTGTTTGTGAATATTTAGTGTGCAGACGGCGGGGTTATAGCAACAGAAATTCACATGAATCCAGGCGCTCAAACGCCGACGATCGAAGATCAAAACTAACAGAATTCATGTATCGTTGAAGGCTGAAGGCGAGGAAAAGTCATAGGCTGCATGCCTCGTCGGCGCGGCCAAGACTGTTGACCCAACCGCGAGGCTGCACGTAGCCTTGCTACCAATCGGCTTCACATGGTCACACATCCAGCTGCCCTCCACTTAGCCCTTCAAAAGCACATCGCCTCATGTGGAAGGCCTCAGCAAGCAAAATCTGCGGTTCCTGCCGAGGCACGCAGCGTTTTGAAAGAAGGCATAGCACCAGGCCTAGGCTGAGCGGCTGACACGTCGAGTGCCGAACAGAAACGAAAGCACTTCCGCAGATACTACAACTCCCTTATTGTACTGGATTTGAACCCACTACTGTTCAGCTGAGGGGCGAATAGAAAAACGAGATGGCAAGCGAAGCACGCAGCCACCTTAGGTGAATATTTCCATGTGACGAACATCACAGCTTGGTGGGCATGCCCTGCATTCCCTCTGACTCTGCTGGAGTTGGTCTTGACATGTCTTGACCTTTGCTGTCCGTAGCTCTCGAACTACGATTACAACTAGGCATAACCCACCTTCACAGGAACCGTAATGTCGAGCTATGTCGAGCTCCATCATGTTCAATCCAGGATTGCAAACAACTTCGCAACCTGGAAGCAGCTCAAATCATCTTCAGTTCTTGACTTAGCTGACGGCCACTGCTGTCCAATACGAGGGCAACCTGCCCAGCCAAACAGCGCTTCAGCACCAAAGAAAAGTGAGCGGAGTCGAGACTCGCCTGGACTCAGTCATTCCTGTAGCCTGCATGAGAATCAAGCCACCCAAGGACGGCAGCAGCGCGCACCAAAGCTGAAACCTGTCAGCGAGGTCTTCATAACTCACCCGATTGGGTTGCGTTGCATGACCACCCGCTGTTCAGACTCTGATGAACAAACGGGATCACAACTACCCACGTGCAACGTGCGACAGCTTTGAGCTTCGGGAGCCTTTCAATGCGGTTGAGCACTCCATTTTGGCGGCTATCGAAAGGCCTCGCACGCGGACATCTCGAGTCCGAGTCTGGCTCTGATCACGGCATCTACAGCTTCTACATGCCTTACGATAACATGAAACGTGCCGGCGGCATTGGAAGGCTTGGAAGGCCGTGCAGGAAAGCTTTGCGCTGACAGAATATTAAGGACAGTGCAAGTATACCTCGTGCGCATAGAGCGACAAAATGCAGGTGACCACGAAGAGGAGGGTGCGAGCCCTAAGAGCCATTTCAATGCAACCACCATCGACTGGCACCGAGCCCCAGACTCGGAGCCCACTGGGAGCACCTGCAGGAGACTTGCGAGTTTTGCGCCATCTGCCCATTGCACATGTCCTGTCACTCTTGTTCATGATAAATTCAACATTTCAAATTACAGTTTGTTGCTTGGCACAAATATGCCAGATAGTGCCAGTTTTTGCCGTCGCCGTGGTAATAAAGTACCCAAGCAGTCCGAGCAAGGAGTGGTGGTTGGGCCTGAGGGTAGCTCTTCAGTTCGTTCATGCCAGCTGTCTTCCAAACAGACAACTTTCAATTAAACTCGCCGCATGTTGACCTGTGGTGTGGTGGATCAACTTGTGCTTCGCATGCTTTGCAACATCCCAGCCACAGGATGTTTGTTTCCTGCAACATCTGTACATGGCGGTTGCCACGGATACTTGGATCATCCAACTCGCTTGGAACATGGACGTTTGCATCGTCAGAGCATGAGATTTGCATTCGAATCGCAGGGCCTTGAGAACTCTGATGCGGCATGGATTGGCTCCGTCGAACTCTCATCGTCTACTACCAGGTTACTACCACCTCCTCCGTCACCGTCGCCAGTGCAACCGCTTGAACCAGCAACAACACCAACTGAAAGCACGGCAGTGTCCAACCTCCAGGACCAGGAAGGCAAACTTCCGGACAAATACTGCACCTTCCCACCACCTTTGCAAGAACGCAGGCTCCGAGCCGCCATTCCGAAGCGTAGGCCTGAAGTTTGGCTTGCTAGTGATTGAGAGCTGCGCCAAACTGTCCGCGAATAACCTCGGACGTCATATGAAACAGCATAAAGCATCGCTGGGAAACTGGTGAGATGTCCGCCGTTGATTATCGTGGACCAGCGCTTTAAGACCTCAATTAAATGCTCTCCAGGCAAGGCGGAGTGACACATCAATCTGGGCTTCCTACGTGCGGATCAGAAAGGCGGGGAATATCGCGGCGGAGTCCCCGCCTCAATAAGACAATCAACTTCCGTTGGTCTCGGGTCCAGGGGAGGCCGCAACCACTTGAATGTAGTATGTGATTCCCAGACGGATACACATCTAACCCCCACTGAATCGAGTGCGTGCTTCATCGACACAGTCGCGACATGCTCAAGGCTCCCACATGATGACCTCAGCTGATGCGCACACTGAGGTTACGAGTTCTCCAGACTACTTTGCCTGGGGCCATGGCGGAGGGATACACGACTCCCCAGAAGAAGGCCAGCCTGTGATGGAGTGTCGATTCGCTTCAAGAAGTGGAATTACTTTCGCAGTTTACAGTCACGTGATGTGTGACCCGCCAGGAGAAGTACAAGCAGTCAAGAAACAACAGTGCGAGCAATGCATCCGAGCAGCACTAACGAAACTACCAGTAATGGATCTTCAGGACCTGAGTGACACGGCACTGCAGATATCAGGCCGCCAACGCCTGGTGGCCTTATCGAAGCTTAAGTGCAATGCAATTTTGCTCCTCGCTGAAACATTGCGCCGTGGTTGCAGAATGATGGTGGAACCGGAGGATGCGGCGGGCTACCTGCTTCGCAGGTCGTTCTCCATCACAATGCCAGGACGCGAATGGCCGCAACTATTGTCACGAGGGCTGCTGCTCAGCTCCTAAACTAAAAACATCCCGAAACCCTAAAGCCTTAAACCCTAAAATCCAAGGGCCCCCAAGGGCCCCAGAGCCGCTCACTTTGAGCCGCCCCACGCATCTCACAGGAGTCTGAGCCTTCGCAAAGCCCGCCACGGCCAGCCTAAGAGGTCCAGCTTGGCTTCTCCGACGGTCTTCAAGCTTACAATGCTTCCGCCTCGGCTAAGAGCTTTTCCTGTCCATGTGCTGCTGTCATCATCACCTGAGTCGATGCATCAAAGGACAGATCCAGGCACAACAAGCTCCGGGCTCCTGAGTGCTGCTAGCCGGCCTAGCTAAAGTTTGCGACGTGTGCCATGTGCCCCACCTGGCCCAGTTTCGATCCGCTTATGCAAACAGGACGCCATCGCTGGAACACGCAGAAGGGCACTCCTGGGGCCACAGTGGCAGCCAAAACCAGGGTCTTCCAGGTAGATCTCAAATCTAGATCTAATTAGAACTATGTTCTGAGTTCTGAATGCAGATCTCTGTAGTTCCACTTGAACCGGCATTCTGCATTCAGCTGTTTGTTTCGTGCCGATGTCTTGACAACGGCGCTTCACTGGGCTGCTTCACTGGGCTTGAGCTTGACCCCGCTAGAAGCCGCCTAAAGTCGCACAAGCTTTCAGCGATGTCGCTCCTTCTGCTCAAGCGACACCGGAGCTTTGATGACCAGCGGTGCTCTGTCTGTGAACTTGGAAGTTCCAAGTGGTCCTTTGCAACGGCGTTTGGGCGTTTTCTTAACGACTAGTAACTTTACGTGCCGATGCCATCTACTAATCTACTATTCTGACCTTTTAAGCTTCGGCCCAGTAGTTGTCGGCTTGGCACTGATCCCGAACATCCACACGTCTTAAGTACACGCCTGATCTTCAACAGGGTCAAGATGTTTTGTTGGCACCTTTGTGACGATGCCTCGGTTCCGCTGTTCGGGTTGGGATGTTGAGGCTTCTCCATCTTCCAACCTTTCAGCCTCGCAAGCAAGAACAACAACTGGAACGACCGTCCTATATTCCGCCCGGTTAGTTTGTACTCCACATAGTTGCCCATGTGGAGCAAGAAGCTGATCACCTCATTGCGATGACGCAGCACCGGCAGTCGGACTCGCAGAGCAGTGGTGCACGCGCTGGTAATCCATCTCGTGTTGGACATGTCAGCGGGATGAATGTGTAAGTTGATCCCCCGACGACAATATCAAGAAACTAAAGAGACTGCACCAAACTTAGTGCAGCCTGGCAACTGAATGAACCCCATTGCCCTCAAACCTCAGTTCAATTTGCGCTGAGACAAGAACGCTTCAGAATACGTGACCTACAGGTAGTGCTGGAGGCCAGCACGGCGAGACCCAAGTTTCTCGCCATTCTGCCGAGGGGCTGAAACCAAGTGTGCCCATCTTAGCTGACGTCTTTCTTCAACTGCTCTCGCGCAAGGATCTCATGCGCCCGTTGACTTGTATGCGAGTTCAACCCGACACATGTACGTATTCAATCTTTTGGCATGCCTATCCCGACAAAGTAAATTTTGAATCCCTGATGCCGATCTCACCAAAATAAACTCGCCATCGAGCATTTTGCGGAGCTCGCACTTAAGGTCTGTTAGAAGGAAAGTGCCTGCATCATCATAGGGTGTTACGACGACATCGCGACGCTCAAAAGAAGACAACCAAGTCTGAGCTGTATTTTGGTCGGTTTACGTATGCTCAGCATGCATGATTCTCTCATGAGGGAGCACGTTAATTTGGAGGGTAGGATGCTGGGATCGTGCCGGTGACAGGATTACAAACACATGGACCAAACAGGGAACGTTGGGAGTTGGCAATAGCCCAAACTACCATTGAGATCGACTTCAGGCAAGCGGCTGTGAGGCGAGTGCGGCCGCTTTTGAATCTAAAAGCTTTTCTCTGCCGACAACTCTTCTGATACTTGGCGGGGTCGTGCATGCCTTTTGCAACTATGGAGTCATGCCAAGGTGCCAATGTCACCAAGCAGCAGCGTGTGCAGGACCTCACCTTGTGGGAGGCCGTATTGTTGGGCATCGCTCCTCACGCAGGTGTTCGCTGCTACTAAGAACGCTTCGAAAGCTGCTGCTCCACTGCTCGTCTTCCAATGCAGCTGTCCATACGAAAAACTCACAATGTACTTGCTTCCAGTGGGAATGGGGGGTCGCGCTCATGAATCATGAATTCCTACTGTGCTCCGCCCAACAGAACCCGCTTCAGACCCTTGTCCAAGCAAACGCAGATTAAAGCCTAAAGCCCCGCGACCCGGCACTCCTATGAGAGGACTGCCTCTTGTAAGCCCCGGGAAACGACCTCGATCGGACTGGGTGAAGACTCTCAGAAGGGATGAGCAAAAACAGAACAGTGCAGGCTGGAAGCTGCAGCAGCTGGTAAGCTGTAAAGTTCTTGCCGTCGGGCGTGCTGAGGACATCTCGTTGCAGCAAAATGTGGGCTCCACTGAGAATCCTTGCTTCTGCGTTGCTTCAAGAAGCAGGCGGCATTAGACAACAAAGACAAGGACGGCTTGCACACGTGCGCTCGCATGATTGGGGCAAGCATCTGGCGCATGATTTCCCGGTCTCGTCGGGCAATTTGCATGTAAACGAAGCCCATCAACACCTCAGGCATCTCACGAATCTCGACTGTGCCACCTCTCAGACCGGTGACCTGTGCAATCAACCCCCCTCTCAAGGTTCCATGTGAGGATCTAGACTCGGACCGTAGCCTCGCCCAAAGGGCATCTCGTGCCACATAGGCCCTATAGAGACGCTAGGCCACTAACGGTAGCCCGTAGCGTCCGAACCTTCTCCGCCAGCGGGGGGTTCAAGTCAAACTTGCGCAGGTCACTATCCGGCAGCTCCTGTGCCGGGCCAAGTTCAAGTCAGAGCTGCTCTCAGGTCGCAGACGCAGCAAACAGGGCCGGGTCCATGAGGCAAGTCGCGGCCGCCGTGTGGTGGCAGTAGGCAGATTTCTCCAACATGTCTAACATCGGCTCCAGGAGCCGGCCACGGCCGTGGATGCTGGTGCCTGGCAAGCCGCACATATCCGTGCCACAAAGGCTGCCCCAAAGGTTTCTTGATGCTGCCGCGGCGCCGACCAAGACGCCGAACGCCAGCATCGTGCAAAGCACGGAGACGCACGCCACGCATCTGCAGGACACATATTGGCAGCGCCGAGGTTCCTTGCTGCTGTTGCAACCGGGGAAGTGCGGCATGGGCAGAGGGAGCTGCGAGTACTTGAGACTTGCCCTCGCATCATGTGCCTTCTGCCCCAGAAGCTCAACTCTAAAGCGTTCAGGCTAGAACAAGATCTTCGTAAGCACGCCTTCAGGACCACTCTTCCGAGTGATGCTGGTGTCCGTGTGATGGCAAGCTGACACTCTGTAAAGCGGAGTCTCATTATGCATTTTGAAGGCAAGGCACCGACATTGAAAAAGTAAAAGTCGTCCTCGTATCACCCCCTTCAGTCAACGAGGACACCTCTTCGTCCATCGGTGACGGAGAGCCCATCGTGCGGGCTGTTATCCGCCACACCGCGCTGTCCTCCTCGACCTGGGTTACATCTTTTCAATATCTTTTCAGGTAATGTGTGGACAGGAACGGTTACCGCGAGTCGTGGTACATCTGTTGTGGTAAAGCGGTGCCGTGCATGCTTGTCAGCACATAGGATCACAGTAGGGCTGCGACTGGAGGGGTGCCCCGGCCAGTCCAGTACCGCCAAATCTTGAACTGGAATCAGGCTGCTGCGAAAGTATCCAAACCATGCCGGCAGAGTCACGCAAAACGGGCTCGATATCGAGACTTACAGTGGCAAAAGTCTCAAAAATAATAGGCTGATAATCAGGTTGATTCGTGATCTGTTCCATGGATTGACAACATGTCTACATACTCACCCCTTTGTGAGTGGTCAGCGGCCAGCAAGCTACTCCAAGGCAGTGGCGGCAGCCTACGGATCCCTGCCGCATAAGCACAGAGATGCCGCCAGCTCGGCTGCCCAAGTTCACCTGGAAACACTTTGAACGCTTAGTAGCGAACTTTGACAGGCTGCGTCCGCTGAGCTTAGGCCCCAACACATGTCAAGACACGCAGGTTCCGTCTGGCCACTGCAAAGTGCATTAGCTGAAAGACCTTGCCACGCGCGCGGCCTCATAAGAATCGGGCGAAGAGACGCTGAGGGTCTAAGGAGCCCACTGCCGCGCGCGCCTGAGACACTGGACTTCAAGCCACCGGGCCACACATTGCCTCTGCCCGAGTCACTGGCAGGCAGGTGATCTCGCCAGAAATGCGTGAACGACGGGAAACGGAGTAAGTTGCTAGTGCCCCTGGGAGCATTGCGGTTGCTCAGGCAACTCGGAACGACACGAGTCCGATCATGGCAGACCTCTGTGCTGAGGAGACGGATGCAATGTACTGCACGGGCCAGAAGAGTCCCAACCTGAACCGGCAAAGTACAACATCCCCTGGCAGGCCACGCGTGGAACAGGCAAGGATGCCCAGGAAGCAGCAATCTCTTCTGGTAGACATCCAAGAAGAGCTGTCGTTGCGCCTGCAATGCTTGCTGGAGACTGTTACAGAGGATTCTGACGTTTGTGGTATGCACATGATTGACCGTTGACGCTCCTGATGTTGGACCTCTGCCCTACAAGCTTGCACGAAAGCCTGATACCACCGCTCCGACTCCGGCAGAGGATCCGACATCATTCATGGGAAAGAGCCGCTGGGAGGGTCTTTGTCAGCCGTTCGCAGGTCAAGCAACCAGCCAACCTCGTCCCAAAAAGCTGCGACACGGCCACCGAAGCAACACACCTGTGCGATTGGACTAGGAGATATGGAGCCGGAGGGAGAGAGAGAGAGAGAGAG